AGACGGTGTTAATGAAATTTATTCTTAAAAAAAATGAAAAGTAGAAAAAGAAAAGCCTAATAGGAAGGCATTGAAAAACTTTAAGGAAGCATATAATGAGGAGGGAATTGAGGGAAAGATCCCAAAATAGGAGGGATTGTTCCTTCAACATTCTTCTTCTGACAATTATGGGGAGATCTCTTTCCTTTTTCTTTGGCTCAAAATAATTAATATGTTTCCCAAGAAAAAAAGGAGAAGAGATGAGTTAAGCATTGGGGCTTGACACCATGAAAAGACAAAAGAATTGGGCTCTGTTCAAAACTTAAATTGCTCACAATAATTTGGACTGGGAGATTTCCAACTTAGCAACAGTTTTCAACCCAAAACAAAGGATCTTTACAATTGGACTGAGCTAGAAACAAAGAGGCCAGATTTTCCCTGTGAAGTTTCCTCAGTCAATCGAAAAAACAAGTAGCCAAGAGGATCTGAGGATGGGGTTGGGAATCTTCAAGCCCAGATGAGAGTTTAAAATGGTAGTGCAAGTTTCTGACTTGGGCTAGATAAGTAGCTAGGAAGGACCTTAAATTCAAGAGTAAGTGCCTCCTCTGTTGATGCAAAACAAACGGGAAACAGATGACTACTTAAGAGTCTAAAACATGACTGATTAGAACCATGACGGTGCAGACACCAAGTTCATCAACAGAAAAATATCTGAACTCGGATAGGATTACCATGAGATGCAAACAGAAAAACAGGCATTGCCAACTCATGAGATGGCAAGCCAAGTTATTGACCTCCCAGAAACTGAAATAAGCAACTGAAACTGAATGTTGGAATCTTGCCACAGTCATGTAAGAAACTGACCATTACAAGACTTGGCACGATGAGCACAGGTTTTAGCTTGAATCTTGGCCTGTGACAATTCCCAGAAATATTTATAGTCAAACTCATAAATTAGCTTCTACTTCCTTTGATTTCTCTCCGTCACTTAATCTCCATTGATGTTAACATCTTTTAGTTTTTATGTTGTAGCTGTACATAACTTCAAAATTACATCAGTTTAGGTACAAAAAGCTCCAAAAGAATCATTCTTTTTTGTATAGAATTAGCTTCTCCCCTTGACCCAATTTGGCTAAAGGCATTGGTTTGAGACAGTGATCTAAACCAAGGGGGGAATTGCCTATATTTAACCTTGTTCTTCTTCCAAAGATACAAAGAACAAAAACGAAGGGAAGAGGCATTTGGATTGAATGAAGTTGTGGGACTCCCAATTGAGCCGCCCATATTAAACAATGACCATTGATAAGATTAAATATGCAAAGAAAAGGAGAAGAGATGTCAGACGTTGGCTTAAAGAAGTTAGCACTCGATCAAATATTATTCTTGGACAAGATAAAACCAACAGATAATGCATGAAACTAAAATTTATAAACATATTATCCTATGATTTGGAATGGGGAAATAAATATTGGGTTTGATAATCATTCTTGCTTATTTATTTCTGTTCAATCCTCAAGTCCACCTTCCCACATTACCTACTTAATTTTCAATTAGTTCTAACAACTCATTTGAGCTTTTGTCCTCATCTAATCCGATAAACAAAAGAAGCTTAGACTATTGATAGAGGAATATTAAAATTAAAGCATATATAAGTGAACATGTTATTGTCAGTTTGTCACATAAAAGTAGCTAAAACCCTTTAAAAACTTCCTAATTGCATACCTTTTTTTTTAGATTTTAAGCAAGTTTTTCCCTCTAATAAAATTTTCCCACTTTGTTTTTCCTTTTCTATTTGTTGTTTTAGGTTGACTTGATCTTGATATGTAGATAGATCAAAGAGCTCACATGGGGAGAGAGAGAAAGAGAGAGAGAGATGGAAATTCTTTAATTATAGTTGCAAGATCGTGGAGTGAAGTCACATGGCAATGCTTGGCCAAGAGTGATAAGAGCATGAGATAATAGTTTAATGTGATTGAATACTAGCCAAAAAAATAGTATACTTGTGAAGGAAAATGAGATTCCAATTTCCAATCTTTCGCTAACTTCACTAGGCTAGCTACCTAGGGTGATAGCTTTAAGGTTTTAACTCTATCTATGTTGAGATTCTTACTTCATGAGTGTCTAACTTAATCAGACTGTGGGAAAAGAGTGGGGAAGTGTAATTCTTTTTCAATGCGATAGTTTTCTTCCTGCAATTCATTTCCATTCCTAAGAAACAGTTTTCCATCAACGTTGCGTCTTTGTACTTCTTTTTTCCAACTATGCTAAAATAACAAAAGGCATCAAAGAATCTGGCATATTTAGGGTTTAGTTTCTACGAGGTATCTTAGGACATGACGTATTTGATCAAATATTGTATCAATCACTTCATGGTAATGACAAAGTTAAAAATTTTAAAAATAAATTAAATTCATTTATATGTAAATATATAAATATTTGTATATATTTATGCATAAAATTAAAAAGATAACGTGATGTAAGAATTTCAATTTAAATTTTTAAATTTTGTATTGTCAGTTAATCTTAGATGTAGGTTTAGAGATTAAGAGAAAAGTAAATCATTACAAAAAAGAAATTATTTTTGAATTATGTAATTAATTCTAATTACGTTTTTAATTATGATTTTTGAACAATTTTAATGGGGCCCCTATCACCAAAATCAGACGGTGGAATTTACCACATCCACTCCATCCAGCACCTGATGTCATTACCTGGTTCATGACCGCCACTAAACCAAAAGAAAAGAAAAAAAAACCAGCATAAATAATTAGTATTTACCACTTAATGAAGCTTGATTAGTGCCTGATTATGAAGCCAGCAAAGCTAACCACCACCGTCCACGTCACCGCAATATAAACAATCCAATGGTCGGTCAAGCCACAAAGCAAAGACAATCATTGGGGGACCCATTGCCAACGCTTTTGGTCGGTGATCAAAATTCTCCACGCTCCGATTGGGCCTCCAAGTCCGCATCAACCGTACAAGTGGCATCATGGGAAGGACTTGGAGGCCCTTCGGCTACAATATTTCCCGGACAATGACATTCTCCTTTTTATTTTTTCTTCCTCCTGCAGCTGAAAATTTTGGCTTTTTTTTCGGTTCGAAACCGGCTCTTCCGGTTCCTAGTCGATACGTTAGACTTAGACCCTTATATATAACTACGACAAAAGAAAGCTGAAGTAAGCCAGAGATAAGAGAGTGGCAAGAAATTGGCGCAGCGCTCAGAAGCAAAGATAAAATTTTAGTTTTAGAAAAGTAAAATGCCAATTTCTCGAATTGCAGTGGGATCTCCAGCTGAGGCTGGCCAAGCTGATGCCCTCAAGGCAGCTCTAGCTGAGTTCATTTCCATGCTCATTTTTGTTTTCGCCGGTGAAGGCTCGGGCATGGCTTTCAGTACGTATCCTGATTCCATCACACCACCTTGACAACATATTTAACGCTAAAACATGTGTTAAAATGTCGTGTCCTAAAGTTAACAGTAGCAATATTCCTGTTTGTTTCGTGTTTTGTATGTTCTGTGTACTAAAGGATGTGTGTACCTTTGGCAGACAAGCTCACTGACAATGGCTCATCAACACCGGCCGGCCTAGTGGCTGCATCACTGGCTCATGCCTTCGCTTTGTTTGTGGCGGTTTCAGTCGGTGCTAACATCTCAGGTGGGCACGTAAACCCCGCAGTTACATTCGGTGCCTTTGTTGGCGGGCACATTACCTTGGTCAGGAGTATTTTGTACTGGATTGCTCAGTTGCTCGGATCCGTGGTTGCTTGCTTGCTTCTTAAGTTTTCAACTGGTGGATTGGTATGTAAATCGAGATGGAAAAACTAAGTTTAATTCAATGATTAAAAATAATCGTTCTTGAAAATTTTCATGCTTTGATGCAGACAACATCAGCATTTTCCTTGTCATCTGGGGTGGGAGCATGGAACGCAGTTGTTTTCGAGATTGTGATGACCTTCGGTTTGGTCTACACCGTTTATGCCACAGCTGTTGACCCCAAGAAAGGTAACATTGGGATCATTGCACCAATTGCAATTGGTTTCATCGTGGGTGCCAACATCTTGGCTGGTGGTGCCTTTGACGGTGCATCCATGAACCCTGCAGTCTCCTTCGGACCAGCCGTCGTCAGCTGGACATGGGACAACCACTGGGTCTACTGGCTCGGCCCATTCGTTGGCTCTGCCATTGCAGCCGTTGTCTATGAGATCTTCTTCATCGCCCCAAACACACATGAGCAGCTTCCATCTGCAGATTACTAAGATTTCCTCTGGTCTCTGCTTGATTTCCATTTGATGAACAAGGGGTTGAAAGTTGGGTGGGTCACTTTGGTTTCATTGTTGGGGGTTCTTCCTTCTTGTTTGTATCTCTTTTGTTAATTGTTGATTCCTGCGAGCTTCTGTTTTTTGTTCAATCATTTGATATTGTTCTCACTTCTGCTCAGTTGACAGATTTCAGCTCCAAAAAAAATGCATTTAATTTGATAATTACAATCACAAAAACAGTATTAGGTTCAACAACCTAATAGATTAAAAAATATGATAGGTACCAAAGAATCTGGACAAGTTGTTTATATTTGTCATCCTTAGCCACAAATTCCCCTAGAAAAGTTTAAACTTTAGTCAGGACAACATTCTAATGATTAGCTAATATACAAGAAATGTACGCTTTTCCCTTTTTTTTTTTTGTTTCTTTTCTAATCCAATGGCTGAGCAAAGGGCAAAAAAACCCTCTTGCCGAAGTTCAAATTTCCTTTCTTTCTTGTCTGGGGAAAGACTTCAGATTTCTTTGAATTAGTATAACTTTTCTTGCATCCATTTCAAAGATTGAGGCTATCAAATTCAAAGGAGCAAATATATCAAAATGAGCATTGGTATTTCATGCCACAAGTTAGAACTTAATTAGAACAAGTTTGTTCAACAAAAAAATAAAAAACAGAGTATCCATATTGGTTGAGAAGCAATGCCATGGGATATAAACAAGAAGCAGCAAGCTCACTAAAAATCTCAAGTCATAAGCATATAAATTGAAGAACAGAAGGATCTGATTCATCTGCTTAATATAGGGCGCATTTCAATCCCAGGAAGTACACCTTGCTTGTTACGTAAGAAATACACTACGAATTGATGAAGTCCATCTATTATTATCATGAATATCAAAGTTATAGTAACTTATATTCCAGAATTACTGGTTAAAAGTAAATAAAAAAGGATTAATCTCATATTTGGCCCTTGAAGTATAAGAAAAACATCCAACCTTCATCTTTTCTTCTTCTCGTGGTGTTTGCCCAGTTTTGACCGTCGTTGCTTAAATAAATGGAGGTACAATTTCAACCAAAGGAAAGGGTAGATGAGAAGAAAAACCTGATTCAAAGCATATGAAGTGATCATTAACAAAACAATAGAAAAACTTCGAAAAAAAAAAAGCATATATTTTGAAGAAAAGGAAATGAAATTAATCATCATATAATAACAGAACCATGTCACGGTATATGATATATCTGGAATGCGTATAACAAGGAGACTAAACCAATCTTCTTTTACAGGAATCCATGAGGAAAACAGAGGAGAGAAAGTCAAAGTAAACAATTCCAGGTCTATGCACAACTACCTAACAAGAAAGCAAGGAAGTGTAGCAAATACAGATGGGTAAACAAGCCACCTTGCTGCTGCGTTTCAAATATGATGAAAGCTTATGTAAGCCTTTTTCTCTCATAGTTATATATTTTGAAAAAGGATCTCGTGTTAAAACCCAAGTGCACTCTTAAGTTGGGAACGGCTGTTGGCAGGTCTTGGACAGGCTAATTCAAGCAAAGAAAGATTTTAAAACCCCAAATAAGAACTGTTAGGCCCTTGGCCAAACACACATGCCCTGCCTCAGGTTCCATAAAGAGGTGCAAGGCATATTATTCATGGCCCAGAAACATAAGCATTATGTATTACAATAGCTAAAGCAAAATCAAGGTTTCCCATGTTTGCAGATATAATACACTGTACATACCCTGAGAAAATTATAATAGCTAAAGGGAAGACCAGCAAAGAAATCCTCATAGAGGTTCTTCTTCTTTATAAATGGAAGTGCTTGGTGCATGAGCCACACTGCAATGAAGTGCTCAAAGGATGAAATAAATCAGATGGAAAAGCAATTATAAAGTAAGAAGATGGTGGATTGAGGAGCGTAAATTTATGGTCGACATTATCAATATTATCCAAGCAAAGAACAAGATAACTATCAATTCTAGACATGGATGAATGCAAATCTTCAACTCACTTTCACCAGGAGCAAGTCCCATAGGATACAGCACAATGAATGCAGTGTACCTGGAAGGAAGCAAAAAAGTTAAATTTGAACAGAACGTTAGTCTGTATGCAATTCTAATTGGAAAGGAAAATATCAGACCTGAGGTAGGTGAGCCAAGATGGACAACTGCCAAACGTGTTTGAAGCATAATGCGAATACCTGATTACCTGCAGATAGGATGTTAGTGTTCTATGTAATTTACTTTAAATTCTGAAACAATCATGAAGTAAAACCAGGAACATGATGGGTAAGGGAATTTAGAAGGATGAACAGCCAATACTCATGACTGTTTCAATAATTTCAATAAATAAAAAATAAATGAAGTGAACAAAAGTTGGCATATTACAGTAAGTAAATTGAAACTTGCAATTCCTCTACAGTAAACCGAAAGGAACTTAACCAAACACATAAACATTAAACACTCCAAACACACTGCAAACCATAATTGCACCATAACACATCTAGGATGAAAACTATGTTAAGAGTTCTAGAGATCTCCACTATTAGGTGTTGATGGCCTGTTGGAAGCAACCAGGCTTTCACTGACAAGGCATAAGTAGCAATTAGTTTGATCAGTCAATCTTGAGATTAAATTTAGTTGGCTTAGATGGTCTGCTACCATTAACTGTCTTCATATCTGTTATTCAACTCAAAACAATAAGGTGGGTGGCAAATGTGTACATATATCGTTCAGTAAATGACTCTAAATTTAATCATTTCGAAAAGATACAAGACAGTGATGAATTTCCCATCTTCTACCATAACTAGGTAACATGCCACTATATAAGCTCATAAAAATTCCCATCTTGTTACGGGATGCATAAAGATACCAAATTCAAGTAGATAGATTAATAAATATACTCACCTCAGAAAGGCTCCAAGCAAAAAAAGTTATGAAAACTGCAGGAAACTCCTGGACCTGTTATAATTAGATTAAAAATATATTGAGAAACAGGCATTTATCAGTAAACTTTTATTTTAGACCCAATGGTCACTGTGTCACTGCTTGAGCAAGGCCACCAGAAAAGAATGGTTAGTTACTCTCAGCTTTAAATTGTATTGTTTGCATAGGCAGCCAGTGCATCAGCAGCCAATTTGCTAATTTTGTTTGTCAAAGCCGAAAGACAAATACATTATGTCAAAAAATGAGAACCTCATCAATCTGGCGGACAATCGCTAACAAGAAATGTGTTCTTCCACCCCATTGCATTAGAGGAAACAACACTCCACTTGGAACAATCCCTATAATTCCACAATGGGATACGAAGAAACCAAAAACATTACAAAATTATACCACCATTCCCACCAAAAATTTTTGCTGCTGAATGTATTAAACCCTACAGAAATTACCTATTGCTCCATGTATAACTTCCAAGAATGCACAAGTTTGTAACAAACCTTCAAAGAAAAAAGAGATAAACATTCAAATTACACTCTGAACCAATGTCTCCACACTAAATGAATGTCCAGGTCAGAGAGAAATGGTAAGAAACAGAAAGTATGGCAAATCTATAACATCTTAAATTCTTGCATATCCTGCATATTCCCTACTATAACTGAAAATTTAAGTTCATTTTCCTTCATTTTATTAGGAAACAAAAGTGGGTAATTAAATTCAAAAAAAAAACTGACAGATTAAGTCCCCAGCAGAAGCGTAAGCTCCATTGACTGAGTTGGTGGCTATGAAACTGGTCAGAATTCTGAACAGAGAAATTGTCCTGACAAGAAACAACAAGAAAGAAGTAATCTTAAGATAAGTTGAAAGAATGAAAGGAGATTTTAGAGAGAGAGAGATGGGTCACCAGCCAAAAGCCTGAAGAGAATTGTAAGCAACGAGATACAGCTTCAGCAGTTGAGACATTGTTAACAAAACCTGCGCGCCGTATCTACAGGTACAGTTTCTCTGTTGGATATTTAGTTTACTTAAAAAAATCTTTAAGACCCCTTTTGTCCTGGTCTGTTAGGCATTAAGTACAGCTAGTCAGACTATGGATAGCAATGGCAATGATTTCGTCAGTATTGATTATATCGAATTAAGATACCTATAATCGGATTAGAAATAAATTTAGATAGTGATTTCAGTACTTATTATCAGATTTGAATATTATTTTTAAGTATTTGTTATTTAAATTTGATTATATTAATATTCGAATTTCACAAATATCCGTTTCAAACTCAAATTTAATACTTGTTTTTATATATTTATTATTATTTAAATAATTAAATTAAAAAAATTTACTTTTACTAACGTTTAGATTCAAAAAAAATCAAAACCTTTACTATCTTTATAAATAATTTTTTTATTAAAAGCTGACAAATATATTAAAAAGCATGATTATTCAAACTATTAATGTGATCATATTAATATTTTTAAATTAAAAAATTAAAAAATTATTAATTATATTTAAATAATATAAATATCA